CTTTTTAGGTAAATTAGAAACAAAGAGTTGCTTGGGTTTGGTTGTTTTTCAGTTGTTTTTTTAGTTGTTGGTTTTTGTGGTTTTTTCCTGAAGACTTGTACCCTCCCTTCAGCTTTACTCACTTTGCACTAAAAATGATGGAGGTGCAAAGTGGGACTTGTGCACTTCGCAGGCATTATTTACATTTGCAGTTAAAACTTGGCACTCAATCTAGAAGGCTTTTGACCACGTTGGCAGTTTTAAGCATACACAAAGTATTAGGAGTGAACAAAATTGATGGCCTGCAGATAATCCCAAATTAATCATTAATGGAAGCCCCAAACACAGCTGGAAATCAAAACATTGGACAAGCAATTTACACCAATCCTCTTATGGAGGAAGGAAAGAAAAATGGACTTCTACCATCATCCTAGAAAAGACAATCTTTTGTTCTGTCTTACTTAGAAAACTCTATAGACTACCAAGTATTTAGCATTTGTTCTGGGTTTTTAGTACCTTGTTTCAAACAAGAATTTCTCTAACCCAGTTTTCAGCTCACCACACCTGTTAAGGAGGTAATAGAACCATGAAATTATTTGGGTTCAAAGGGTCCTTAAAGATCACCCAGTTCTAACCCCGCTGCCATGGGGAGTTAGAATTACACAACTAATACCTGACCAGCTCTGCACATGCAGCACAATTGCCTTCCTCTCATGTCTCTTCTCTAATTAATGCCTCTCCTTATCTTAATTTAGGTCTAATCCTTGAATTCCAATGCTGCATTCTTGGTATATTCGCCTGTTCCTTCAAAACATGAGTCACTAATATCCAATGAAAAACCTCATGCCTCAGGCTATTAATTGATGGAATAAAGTTAAAGAAGAGAACATGGAGCCTTGCTGATAGTTTTTCTTACAGTACTCATTCAGCTGTTTGCTCACAAAAACTCTGTTATCGATTCCAGTGGTAAAAGCTCTTTTCAGTGTATTCCCTTCTCAGAACTCAGACTCTTTTGGGGTTTTCCTGCAGTCACAGCTACAATTTTTCCTGATTGCTGCCCACCTAGAAATCGACTGGTGTCTCCTCTATGAAGGTACACAAGGTTGTCAAGTGTCATTAGCAAGTGACAAATTCAAAGCTACAAAAACAAAACGTTCACTGGCATGCTCATATGTGAAACTGGGCACACAGCCCAGCCATCTTTCCCTCACAGCCACCAAGTATTCATAATTTTAAAAACAACATCAGTATGGTAATGGCGAGTAAGAGCATCAACATCACCTATTGTTCTCTACCAATCCGAGGTGAGAACACACATATCAAAAGCATATGATTCCTTAAGGCCTAGTGGGATGTACCATGATAAAACGTTTTCTGAACCCAGTGTGTGCATTTTTTACATTTTTATCCCTTATTGGCAAGCATTTTGTTTATCCTTACATTTGGTCACTTCTGGTGCTTCAAAAGCAGGAGAGTCAGCTCTCACTGCCTTGTAAAATCTGTCACTTTGATTCCTGTTAGAGCTAACCATAATTTCAACACGCTTTACACATAAGATGAAATAATGGCAAAACTACCCAGATAATAATACCAAAACTACCCAGACTGTAGCTCATATCCTCCTGCATGTGAAGGTGTTCCCTCTTTTTTGACAGAGAGTTTTGTCTATGATATGTCTTTTTTATTCAAACAAACACAACCACAAACACAACCACATTTCCTGACCCAATTCTTTTCTACATGTTAAACATTCACACTAGTGAGTATATATGTGCCTGTCAAGTCTTAGCAGTAAAAAGACACAGCCATATTGCTGGTGAGATTTATGGTTCCAGTTACACTAATGGTCATATAAGAAAAAATATATATTTTAAAAAAGGAAACAACAAACCACCAAGCAATTGATTACCAATACTCTGCATTTCCTCCTGCCCATTAGCTTTAGCAATGGTGGCTAACACCTTGTGTCAGCAGCAGGTGGACAATGCCATCTGTATTCTAGGAACTCTGTCCCACACTGGCACAGCACAGGGCATCCTGCCACAGTATCAGTCAGGATTTACACATCAGTGCTGGGATCTCACAATTTTAAATGTGGAACAGTGTAGCCCTTTTTGCTGTATAATTTCCAAATAGTTTCCAGGAGATCATGAACCATAACCTTCCTGAAATAAAGGAACATTAGTGCTCTTAAAGAACACCTTGTTTCAGTATGGAATCTATTGTTTGCTGAAATATACCCTTCCAAAGCGTGGTAGTTTTCCTGGCATTCTTCTTTTAGCTTTGTTTTTTGTAAGTCTACCTGTGGAAGATGGGAGGGAAGAACAGTTCCAACTTACCAGCTTGGCTGAACCCAGCCTTTATTGTCCAGGAACTGTTCCACAGTTAGTCAAATACACATTTTGCAAACATTCTAATTTTTTATCCTCTAGCATGTGGCAAAATCTTTCTAGCTTAACCGTTTTTACATATACACCTCAGGAGTCTGGTATGGTTTTAGTGCCAATTCCAGTGTTTTTTCTCTGAAACAACCTGCAAAATTTCATCTCAGTTGTAACTCAGAAAAATAGCTTGAATCATTTTCTAACTATTTTATAGTATCATGTCACTCTTCTGCAAGCTGCCTAATAACTAGAGATGCATATATCCAAATAGCTATTTTTATTTCATAATCATAACAGCTCTATAACTTTCAATTGTCAACACTCTGTGCATGTGTCGGTGTATCGTGGCAGACTCTCTACTTGTGACCAAATCAAACTGCACAGAACATTGATAAATTGATAAAAGTTCTACCACAGAACAGAAACATCTAAAGGTCAGAATACTATTTAGACAGCTGAAAACAAGGCAAGAAATACAACTAAGATGCTTTTAAGGGTAAAGGACAAAAACCTTTCTCAGTAACATTTGTGTCTAGTTCAGGAAGTCCCTTATCTCTTAAGAAACCATCTATTCAATAAGACAGTTATCATGGGGTTTTCATTGTGAGAAATGTCCAAAATTAAATCTATTCTTTTTGGTTCTTTATTCCTGTAGCTCTGAACTCCTCTATTGTCTGTCTATAAGAGTTTTGTTTTCTGTTTTGTTTATATTTCCCATGATGTATGAAGCAACCCTTTTCTAGAAACAGTGCAGCATAAGCTAATGTATTTATAATCCCCAGTATCACTGTGTTTTCTTTGTGCTACATCCTTCAAGAAAAAAACAGGTTTTCTTCCCCAGGATGCAGTCCAGCTTACAGTGTTGGGCACCACAATCAGAAACAGTGCCAGTCTTAAGAGTGGTTTAAAGGAAATTCTTTTAAATGTCTTTACCAGCATCATCCTATTTATTTGTCTGTCTCTTCAGCAATCTGTATAAGGTGAGTAATGCCTTATCACCCTATTTTGCTTTATTATACAAAATGTAATTGAGGAAACTTGTTATACTTTATGAGCAGTGTTCAGCTGATGTGCAAAATTTCAAGTAACCAATACTATCCTATAGACTATATCTCAATTATGATTGTCTGCTTCAGCTTTTTTCTAAGCCACACTCACTTATGCTCTTCAGTCCAGCAATTTTGTCTTGGATCAAAGCAGAAATCCTCTGACTTCAGTAAAAGTGCACCACGGGTCCAGAAAGAGCAGAGAAATGAGTCTGCAGCTGTAAGGTGAATAGCATCAGGCAGTGCTCAGTTAAATAACAGGAACTGGTATGCATGCTACAAAATTTATTGTGGTTTGATATTTTATTTACTGCTTTTTACTGTTACCTTTTCATGTCCTTACTGCATCAGCTTCAGACATACTGCATGTAGTGCTTTCAAACCATTTGTCATAAACCAGCAATGAAGTAGAATTCTGAAAAGAAAATTAATTAACATCCAACAGTTTCTCCAAAGATGAACTTGACCTCTATCTTATCATCAAACTGACCCAAGACTCTGCTAGTGGGCATGCAATCTCAGCAGCTTGTAAAGATACAGCTTGAACAGTTAGACAGTACAGGACTGTGACACATAATTCAGTTGAAATTAAATGGAAGCAAACAGAAGTGGAAGTCTATAATCAAACAGTTTCCAGTTTCAAAAAGCAGAACCTGCACAAGACCATGTTCATCATGTTAAAGTTTTACAGATAAAGTGTCCATATACAATATACTTATATTTGCATGAGGTTTATTTATTTAGAAACCTCAACACTTCCTCGTTCCCACCTTTGCTTTGTTCACTTTCCCACTCTGGAAAGTGTGCCAAAGACTCCATATAAGAACACTGAACTTCTGGTGTCTAAAGATACATAACTGAGAAAGCTATCATGAAATTTTCCAAATATATGTTGGTAATTTTAAAACTATAAATCTCAAAGCTATAAGCCAAACACAATGCCATGGTTTTTAGGTAAGTATCACGATACCAGCAGAGACAGTAAAAAAAAAAAAAAAACAAACAAAAAAAAAAAACCAACTGAACGGCCAGGAAAGTGGAAATCTAATTTCTTCTCAATTTTGGTCATAGTTCAAAGGAAATACTGATTTTAAAAATAACAGTTCTTTTGAAAAGAGCCATTACTACTTGACACAAATAAAAACATTCCTTATGTGACTACAAATGAAAGAAGTGGAATACAGTGGTTCACAAGAGGATACTGTACCTTATTACAAGATGTGTAGTTGACAGCAAATTATGTACAAAGTATACCTAGGAAAAATTTTGTTTAAATAGCAGTCAGTGAGAGTATCACTAATTTTGCTTAATAATACTTTAGTACATAGCCAAAAATTAAAGAAAGATCAGAGCCAACCCTAAGTATTTTTAGGCGTGGTCCTACAAAATAATATACAGGCCTCATGCAGGGTTAGGTATTTCTCACATAACTAATCCAAATAATCCAAATAACTCTGGAGAGATGCAGCAAGCTGATTCACCATGGGTTTAGGTTACCTATTAACGATAAAACTGGATATCCACATGTCTCTGACACGTTACCTATACCAAAGAAGTTCAGGTTGTGCAGATCCTTGTCTGTTTTAGGAGTCAAACTGCCTGGACTCTGTAACAAACTTGCTTCTTGAAGTTAGTGGGGACGTTAACAGCCACACCTTCTCCCATCGAAGTTTTCATAAAGACGTTAGCACACATCCTCCCTATCAATCAGAACACTGGAAAAGCAGGTTAGACACCAAAGTAATCTAGTAAAGTCTTTCAAAAAGGTGCATTACAGAAGGTTTAATTCTAGAGAAATTTCCTTGCATTACATGCTGAACAGAGGTAAGGTGAAATATCGTCTTTTAAACAGACAAAGATATAGAACCACCTCCAGTGTTGATAAAACCAAACAGAGCCACGCCACGGGGAGGGAGGGGACTGTTGTTCACCTGCGGTCACACCGGGATTACCCGGGCACTGCTCCACCACCTCGCAGAGGCAGCAGGTGTCCAGCTGCCGGACTGCTCCGTGCGGTAGGGCTCGGGCTGCCTGCGGGCAGCGCAGGCAGGGGGTAAGGACAGAGGGCAGAGCGGGCGCGGGGATGCCGCGGCCGCAGCGGGCCCCGGCGGCGCGGCGGCGCTGGGCGCTGCTGCTCGGGCCGCTGGCGCTGCTCGCCGCCGCCCTGGCGCTGCGCGGCACCGCGCGCCCCGACCCCGCCGGCCGCCCCCGCCTCTACCGGGCGCTGGAGCTCTCCCCCAGCCGCAGCATCAACTGCTCGGGGGTCGTCCGCGGGGACCACAAAGCCATCGAAGAGGCGCAGCTCAACAACCTGGAAGTGAAGAACAGAAGGGCTTCGCTGACGCCCGGCGAGTACCTGAACATTACGAGGGACTGCAGAGCCTTCAAGGAGACCCGGCGCTACATCGAGTTCCCGCTCAGCCAGGAGGAGGAGGAGTTCCCCATCGCCTACTCCATGATCATTCACCACAAAATCGACATGTTTGAGCGGCTCCTGCGATCCATCTACGCCCCCCAGAACGTTTACTGTGTCCATGTAGACAGCAAATCCCCGGCCGCCTTCCAGAAGGCCGTGCGGGCCATTGCTGCCTGCTTCCCCAACGTCTTCGTGGCCAGCCGCCTGGAAAGCGTGGTCTATGCCGCCTGGTCCCGGCTGCAGGCCGACCTCAACTGCATGCAGGACCTCCTGCAGAGCCCCGTGCCATGGCGCTACCTGATCAACACCTGCGGCACCGACTTCCCCATCAAGACCAACGCCGAGATAGTCCGAGTGCTGCAGGTGCTGCAGGGCCACAACACCGTGGAGTCGGAGAGGCCCTCGGCCTCCAAGCAGCAGCGCTGGGAGTACCACCACGAGGTGGGCGAGACCATCTCTCGCACTGCCCAGAAGAAACTGCCCCCACCCCACAGCTACCCCATGTTCACGGGCAGCGCGTACAACGCCGTCACACGGGACTTCGTGCAGTATGTCTTCGAGAACCCCACAGCACAAAAGTTCCTCGAGTGGTCCAAGGACAGCTACAGCCCTGACGAGTACGTCTGGGCCACCCTGAACCGCATGCCGGGCGTGCCGGGGGGCACTCCCCTCAGCGACAAGTTCCAGCTCTCGGACATGAACGCCCTTCCCCGCCTGGTCAAGTGGGAGTACCTGGAGGGTGACATCAGCAAGGGCGCGCCCTACCCGCCCTGCACCGGCCGCCACCAGCGCTCCATCTGCATCTACGGGGTGGGCGACGTGCCCTGGATGCTGCAGCAGCACCATCTCTTGGCCAACAAGTTCGACCCCGAGGTGGACGATGCGGCCATCCAGTGTCTGGAGGAGTACCTGCGCCACAAGGCCCTGTACGGCCGGGGCCTCTGAGGGGGACCCGCGGAGACTGGCCAGCACCTGCTGCCTTCCGTGGGCGGCTCCAGCCGACGGCGCCTCGGGGCCAGCGGGAGAGGATCCCCCGGGCCCCTGAGGGGCTCACGCCTCGCCGCGGCCCCGAGGAGAAGCCCCGCGGGCGGGCGCGGGGCTGCGGCCCCGCCGAGTGTCGGACGGACGGACAGACGGAGGGAAGGGCCGGTGTGTGAGGGCGGGAGGCTCAGCCCGCCCCGCTCCGCGCCCGTCCTGTCCCTCACGGGCCGCGGGGTCCCTCACAGGGCACAGAGCGCCGCTCTCTCCCACAGCCGCTGGAGGCAGGGGCGGGGCGCTGTACGGGCCCTTCCTGAGGCCGCGGGCAAAGGTGACCCCCGGGCTGCTGCCTGCGGGCCCGTCACGGGGCCTCCGGTGGGCTGGGGCAGAGCTGAAACAATGATTAATTGGCTTTTCCACAGAGCACCCGACTGCTCAGCTGAACATCTGGCTGCTGCTTTTGCCTCACTTTAAACTTTGACTCTATAAAAACCCGTTAATCATTAAAAGCCAACCCTCAATAAAATCCAAGACAATAAAATACATAACGCTTCGCTGTTTTGTCCTCTGAGGAGAACGGTTTGTACTCGTGGCAGAAAAGCAGGCAGCATTAAACCAGTTAAGCCTTTGTGCACCCACTTCTCCATCTCAAACACAGGCAGAGGGATGCACACAATGGTGTGCAAACCTACATTCCCTAAGATCTACATCTCTCTTCCCACCACCTCACCCCCCAGAAGAAAATATATATTTTGGTTATATTTGAGTACTGTAATTGCCATATCCAGTAATGGGCAATGAACAACCTAACACATTGATTTTTAAAGTTTCTAGTAGCTGAAAGGAAGATTTGCAAACTTCTGTATTTCACCCACATGTGTTTTTCTCACCTTCTCATATTAAAGCTAGCCACTTACCATGGATCCAACAGCTTTTCAGTACCTGTAATACTAAGAGATTAATGCCATTGTCTTTATTTAAAAAAAAAAATCTATTCAAAGTAACTTTCTTGTAAGTAAACACTCACCTTTACAAATTTAAGGTCTACAGCAGAGAATTAGCATTATACAAAGAACATCTGAAGCAATTCCATAACACCAGGCTATGGTTTAAATGAAGTTATGACTGCAGTCACATGGATCTTTAAAACATTGATTTAAATAGCATGAGAAGATGAAGTAACTGACTTGAAAAGGAGTATCACTGCAATTTTGTTAAACATTTTAAAGTGAACTTGGTTGTAAAATAGTGATTTTTAAAACACTATAGTGATTTCACAGACAACACCACCAAGTACTGGCAAGAAAAGCTCTAAAACATAAATACCAAATGTATCATTGAGCATTTGTTTATGCAAAAAGAGGAAATAAACAGAATTATTGATCCTGGGGGGAGCCAACTTAGGTAAGCAGACATTTGCTAAAGAGATTAAAGCTTTATGTTAACCTGATGGTAACATACAAGTTTTTTAAATGGTTTCAGCAGCAAATTCAACATTAAATAGAAATTATCTCCATGTCTAGTACATTCATTTAGAACAAACAGAATTTCTCTGGTGACTTAGGGTAAGAACTCAAGTCTCCCACCACAGAAGACTGCATCAAATCACTGCTGCCAACCTGATTTTGCTTCTTAGAACTCTTTTGCTTACTTTAAATTAATACATATTAGTTCAAAATGGCAAATTAGTGCCAAGGGGTTCAGTGGGGGGGCTGGGATATGTTCAAGTTCCTGGATGGAAACAGACAGAGAAGGGTCACCATGTTTCTAACTGTGGCAAAGTCTTTTTCCCTTAGAAAATGGAGGGGAAATGTGCATATTCATGGAGACAAAAAGATCTCCATAACTTAACAGTTCTAAGAAATTGCATCAAACTCAAATCTGTCCATGAAATGGATGTTTGTAAAAACTAAATACTTTATTTCTTGAAGAACAAAGGTGTTTGGGGGGCTGGAAGGAATCCCAGCTTGAAATAGCGAAAGATTATTGAATGAGCGGCCTATTATTTTGCAAATATACCTGTAGAGAAAGATAAATACCTACAAGCTACTTACAGACTTGTCAACAGTAATTTTTATCCCCTTTACTTTGTAAATATGTTTAACTTCTTCAGCTGTTTCTTCACTCAGAAACATGAAGTATTGCTTGTAAACAGTGTAATAATAGTGTTTCATCTGTTGTCAGACACAAAAATGTTACAAACCGAGAGCCAGAGACAAGAGTTTACATTGGGGGTGCAAACTGCCACTTCAAATCTGTTCCACGGTAAGCCTTTTAGCAAAGTCAAAATATTTTTTCCTTTAATGTTACTCACTTGCCCTCCCTGGTTAGACCTGAAGACAGAGAATCTAAGCATCTATCCAGATTTGAAAAAGCTTTCCCACAGAATATGAAGGCATCAAGTGAAGCCAGCATACCAGAGAGCCAGCCTGGTGACTCAGTAGGAGGGACAGCAGTTATCTAAAAGCACAGCCCCGGCAGCCCTCCCGTTCAGACATCATTGCTTTGGATGAAAATGACTGTTCTGATGTTATTACCTGCAGAGGCAAACAACTTGCAAACCTCGACATCCAATTTTCTTGATCCAAAGGAAATTTCCTGTTTCTAATGGTGTTACTACCAAGAGTTCCTCTCAGATTATTTGGTTGGAAAAACAAAGGCTATCTTGTGCAAATTTATTTTCAAATCACTTCTTTTAGGAGTGACCTAATTTCTTCTGAAAGAAGGAGCCTACTCCCAAATACTTAAGGTGAACTAAGACAAAAAGATTTTTGCAAAGGAATGTTCTCAGCATGTTCTCTTTCAAAGACATTAGGAACGTCATATTTGTGAGTGTAGTCATACAAAGCAGTGATATGTCTCTGCCATTAGAAATGGCAGTAAAAACCACAACTCAACTCTAATAGAGAACTTTGCCTTCCAGAGATCTCAAAGGATCTTAGAAATCAGATAGCTGGCATCTTAGAAAGTTGGCAACAGAGCACAGAGAAATCATGTAACTTGCCAGTTGGTTGTAGAACTGAAAAAAGAATTAATTTGGAATAGAGCAGGACTAGCCCAAAGTAACAGAATCACACCAGATTATAGGACCACCTCAAAAAATAGGTTAAAACCCATATGAAATGCATCAGTAAAATCATGGGCTGTCCAATTGGAAATCATATCAGAAATATTAACTTTGTGCAGTAAAAAATTTACTTCAGCCACGTCTGTCTACAATCATTAACTAATAACTTGAACTCTAGATAACCACCAGTTGTTTAAGGAGGTAATATGCTGCAAATTTACCTTTCAAGAAGTGCATAGGAGGCAGATGAAACTATAATTCTGAGACTTAAAAACAGATTTCTTTTTCTGGTTTAAACCTGTCTTTATGTTTCATTTCCAATTGGTTTTCACTTTATTTTTACAAGAACAATGAGGCTTATTACATACTTACACAACAGGTCCATAACAGCTCTTTTTAGCTTTAGTTAGGAGGGTTTCCTTCTTGCTTCATATTTGATACTTTATATGATCAGCTGTGAGATGCCCTATAATAAAGAGATGGGTCAATGAAAACGAATTTGGAGGAAAACAGGTAATAAATTCTAAAGAAACAAAAAGTAAACATGAACAATATGAGCACAATAAGGTATCTGCAGTCATGAGTAAAATTGATTCAGGGAGAAGGGTTAGGGTGTTCTTTTTCTTCTGACTGCAACAGCAGTGACCATTAAATGTTAACTACTCACTGTGAACAATTTTCCACTTCCTTGAATAATGCAGGTTCTTTTAGCACAAGATGCAAACCAAAATGTTGATATATCTGTAAATTACTACCTCCTAGTCCATAATGGCTAATCTTAACAACAACCACCCTTTAGGTTACAGCAAAGACAAAGTTCACGTCTCCCAGTACACTCTTACTAAAGTGCTTTGCAACATGCTTCTACTTTCCTCTCCACCCCAAAACTTTTGACTACAGAAAAGCAAACCCAGGTCAGTAGGACCTTGACTGAAATCCTACCCCCTAAGCTGCCAAGATCCTTAAACACTAGTATCTGTGCTTTGAATAACTCTTCCCTACCTCACTGTGCCTAGTCATCGTCCAAAGGTACATAACGATCCTGATTAAACGTGTCTTCTGGAAATTCCTCATAAATTCTTCCTGCTCTGCAATTTAAATTTGTGCCCCTCTCATAACACTTGAAGTCAGGTATTGACATCCTTGACTGAGCAAACAGCTTACATCAGATAACATCCTGGTTTGCACACCTATGGAATTGACAAAATCCTTTTTCTTGGAAACATGTTTAAACAGGCCGTCATCCACAGCCAGTTCTGCACTGGTTATTTACTCTTCCCTTCATTTTAATTTACTTTGTAAATAGAAACATCCATTCCAGGTCTATGTCAAGATGCAAAGCTATATTTTACTTTCTCTCTGCTGCTGAGAAGTGGAAGCAATTGTGATCTTTCCAAAGAAAACCAACAAGGAAATAAATAAATGAAAAAGTCCAGAACACTACAGGCAAAGAGGAGCCAAATATGCAGCAGCAAATGTGCTGATGCTCTAGCAAGTGAAATGACGTATTTTCCAGTGGATATTACAATAGCTTAGTATAGCAGAAGTGCAGTTGATGCTTTTAGTTGTAAATTCACTCTTCCAAGACCACAAAGTACATTAATCACATGAACTTGGCAGGAGTAGCTGAAATTCAAACCCAAAAAATAGCAAGTGGCAAGAAAGTTATAGAGAGGAAAACAACAAAAAGCAGAAAGAACTTTGGCACCAGACTGCCTTAACTTCCCTTTGCTCCCCACTCCTTCCATGAACTGAAACAACCTCCATAGAAGGAACAGATCCAGCAACTGGACAAACACTATCCCAGAAATACAGTTAAAGCCTGGAGTGACAGGACAAGGAGGAAATGCCTTCAAACTGAGAGAGGGTAGATTTAGATAATAGGAAGAAATTCTTCCCTGTGAGAGTAATGA